TACCTTTTGCAGTATCTAAATTCCATCTTGAGGTTTCAGGGGGGTCTTCTGTGTAAGAGGGGAGCAATCTGCTCAATAATCAACTAATATTGTTATATGCTATAACTGTGTCATGTAAGACCCATCCAACTGCAGTCGACCGATCAACTAGAGGGTGGCCTGTTGCTGGCGGTGGGGAGAGAGTGAGGTCGACCCTTAGCGCATTTCTTTCCTCATTAAAATCAGTCTGATGCACTGGGAGCTATCACGGAGCACTTGAAAGCTAAGGCTTGGAGTTTTGCCAACTGACGGATAATTGGGACACCGCAGTCAGCCCAGTGTGTCTTGTTATGGGAAGTGGCTTACTGCGGGCTGAGAATCAGGCTGCAATGGCTTCTCCTTAATGTGGCTTTTATGGTGCTCCCGCACCAAGGGCTGCCTGCGGTGTCCAAGTTATCCTGTGAGATGACAATCCTCAAGGCCACGGCTTTAAGCGCACCGTGTTGGCTTCAAGCGCACCAGATTGTTTTTATTGAGGAAATAAATGGGCTAGCAACAAGCCGTTGCCTAGCTGTCGACGACAGCTGCGTTCAGCGTGGCACAAACGGAGCCTAGACTCCACCGGATGCGTCCTCTTTGCGCGTTGTTGCTGGGCGATTGGCGATAGAGGCGAAAACAAACCTGATGTAGGACCTCGCGTAGATCTATATAAATGAGAGAGCATGTTGGTCTTTTTATGACAATCCTTCACTACGTTTCTCGTCACCGTGACAAATGTTTGCAATAATCCAAAGAGGACGGTGGTCGAGTAGCTTCTGGTTGCGTGTATGCACCACTAAATTGCATACACAAAACGGGGCATGTGGTGTAGTCAACTTGCAGTTTCTCTGTGGCCTCGTAGCACCCGTGCTGTTTCAGTCCACCGACTTTCGATCTTCTTCCCGTCAGTCGGTTGACCTTATTTCACCAAGCCCCGCTAGTTTGATTGCCACAAGTAACATGCTCAACCACCCTGCCAATTGCTTGACGTTGCTATGCGTAAGAATTTCTCATGGCATTCACGACCCCCAACTCTCTCACAGTCGCCGTGTTCCATTAACACTACACAGCCAAGCTGGCTGTCGGGCGCCATAATCGACATACATAAACACGCGTCTCTGGCTCTTACACACATACACACGCACACAACATTTGGCCTCTGCACACGCGAATAGCCGTCATCGGTGCGTGGGTGACATATTTGGATTGCCATAAATAGTGCGTTTAAACGAGGTCATCGCGACCTGATCCGCCGGCGTGCAGAGGTTTCCCGTTGGCAGGCAACATACACCACTGCTAGCCTGTTGGTTAGATATATTGAGGAGGCTAAACACTGAATCACTGCCCGACAGACTTTATCCGTTAATCCTATTCCCGCGGGCCAGTGACCTGCCAGACTTCAGTTGACTGGGTTAAGGGTCTACGCCGCCGTTGGCTTTATACGAAACCGCCGTTTTAAGTATGTCACCTATGGATTCGGTTTTCATGTACATAGAAGTGATCATAACGACTGCATTAATTGGGAACCCTCGCAATTTACCTGCTTTCTGGAGGGGTGGGTGGAAGTATCTCGTCAGTGCACAACCCTCGAGGCTTGGGGTGGGACACCACTTGGGCCTGGGTATGACTGGCTGACGATGGCTAATAAGCCAGAAATTGCCATTCTAGTTTCCCTTGTCTTTGCCGGCAATATTATCTGCCCATACTACTAGCTGCTACAACTGTAAAGGGCTCTGTCGAAGCCCAAGGCAGAAAGAGACAAATGAGTTCCGTTAGCGGTCAGGTGAAGGTTTATCAACGAAACCCCAGTTATCGATGGAAATTGTTAAATATATTTTCGATTAGATAAAATGATTTAGGTAGGGTTATAAGATCAATTTTCGTTCAGCATAATACCCATACGCTTCAGTCACATTAGGCTGCCGGCCTTTGAATGAGCTTCTTTCCATACGCCTACGAAAAAGTGTTCCGTAAAAGATGACTAGTATTTACTTTTTCCTTCAGTTTCCATGCCCTTATGAATTAAAACATATTTTGTTGGCAGCATACACAAAACTATTCTGTCCTGCGATTATTTTGTAACAAATGTAGTCTTCTTCATTATTTTTATCACTTAAAAACTGTCGTTTAAAAAGGGTTTTTTTTATCCTGAGCTCTTTAGCACCATAAAATGGTTATTCATAAAACATTTTAGTCATCCATTTGTTGATGCTACTGGTAAATTATACTAAATGATCCGCATCCACAGCCAACTTATACGCGACCAATATGGCGCCTCCTTAATAATGTATAAAGGTGTATGATTTTCATAAAATGGAAAACTTATAGCTTGTAATTTGGAACTCCTGAATGCAAATGGAAAAACAGATCGGGTTCAAAAGTATTCAGTAATTGAACATGTTTTTGTAATGGAGAGGAACCCTATCTTCGATTACACAATTTGAGGGAGATCTCATTTGCTAGAAATGAGTACAAAACATTGTCTTTTGATTCATGTTTTCTATAAGGTATTTTTTAACTTTAAGGGCATCTAAAATCAATGGAGAAAATTCATAATAATTCAATAGCCATTTTCTAAAATGTGCAGTTTTTGCAGGAAGCCGAACCCGGGCATCGGTTTCGGTGTTATGATCTGCCAAACATTTGATGTCACCTGCGTATCGACCACCAAATACCATATCAGTTATTGTCTCCTTTAAATTCGTTTTCTTGATCTTGCCCATAAAACATTTTCGGAAACTAGTCCAAGCACCGAACCCATCGTCAGCTCATCCACCCGCC